CCCCTGACATTAAGTCCAGTTGTGTCCAACTCTGGGGTTGGTGCTCATCTCCATTTCTAAGCCGAAGAGCCGGTGTTGTCCGTAGACACCTCCAAGGTCATGTGGCCAGCATGACTGCATGGAGCACTGTTATCTTCCAGCAGAAGCGGTACCTATTGATCTACTCACATTTGCATGTTTTTGAACTATTAGGTTGGCAGGAGCTAACAATAGGAGCTCATGCTGCTCCCCTTTCGATCAGCGAGTTCAGCAGCTCAGTGGTTTAACCCACTGTGCCACCGGGGGCTACCTCTTCCAAATACTAGTATTCCCAATTTTTTTTTTTACTATAATCTCCATTTTGGGCTGTTAGGAATTGTGGTAGTTGAAGTCCAAAACACCTGCGAAAGCCGAAGTTTGCCCATGCCTGGTATAGAAAATATAACTGCTTTGCTGTCTTTGTTATCCCCTTTACAGTGATATTAATCATATGTTGTCATTACAAGTTTAATATTTGCTCCAGAAGAATGAAGAGCACTTGACATAATGAAATCATTTGCTTGTCATCATAGAACATCCGTTTCTCATCACACTGCAATATACAGATATTGCAGTTCAAATATTGAACTTTGCTTTTTCTCTTACGCAGAAGTTTTATGAGGCACATGTAAAATACAGCTTCAATTAGATCACCAAGACCTCCTTTTTGTGACTTATTCCACATCTTCATTAGCAATGATCAGGCATTAACATAAGCAGCAAAAGGATGGTTCAAAACTTGATGGATGAAAACCACATAAAGACTTGTTCTGGGAAAATGAAACTGACATGAAAAAATAGCCAAAGTTATTGCCACAGAAAGCAAGCTTGTGGTCATTCTTTACACTGGTTTGGCATCAGCTGCAAAGAGGAAAGTTGTGTTCTGGTTGTCTACTTGGCAAGGACCGTAGCAGCTCCATGAATGAAATTTATAGAGACCCAGCAGGTCAGGAACGATGGAAGATAAGTGCTGGCTCAGCACAAACGAACAAGGTCAAATGCAGGGGCCTTCAAGACGCAAGCACGATAAATGCTTTCAGTATCTCTTAACAGTCCAAAATCTGGATTGAAGTTTATAATGTGGGCTCAGATCCACTTGTGAAATAAATCACTCACATTTTTCATAGGCACAGAAATCAGAAAAAGAGGGAATTTTTGATGTGGTGTAAACATTTAGTATTGGAGAGTCAACGATACTTTAGAGTAGTGTTTCTCAACCTTCCTAATGCCGTGACTCCTTAATACAGTTCCTCATGTTGTGGTGACCCCCAACCATAAAAGTATTTTCGTTGCTACTTCGTAACTGTAATTGTGCTACTGTTATAAATTGTAATGCAAATATCTGACAAGCAGGATGTATTTTCATTCATGGACCAAATTGGCCACAATGCCAATACTGGTTGGATTGGGGGAGGGTATTGATTTTGTCCCGTGGGAGTTGTAGTTGCTGGGATTTATAGTTCAGCTACAATCAAAGAGCATTCTGAACTCCCCTAATGATGGAATTGAACCAAACTTGACACACAGAACTCCCATGACCAACAGAAAATACTGGAAGGGTTTGGTGGGCGTTGACTTTGAGTTTTGGAGTTATAGTTCACCTACATCAAGAGATCACTAAACTTGGCACAAATACTCAATATGCCCAAATGTGAATACTGGTGGAGTTCGGGGAAAATAGATCTTGACATTTGGGAGTTCGAGTTATAATAATAATATATACAATCATAGAGCATTCTAAACCCCACAACAAAAAAATTGGGCCAAACTTCCCACACAGAACCCCCATGACCAACAGAAAATACTGTGTTTTCTAATGGTCTTTGGTGACCCCCTCTATCATCCTCTTGCGACCCCCCTCAGAGGTCCCAAACCCCAGGTTGGGAAATGCTGCTTTAGAGAGTTGTATTCAAAGGTAAGATTTTCTATGTGAAAAATCTTTTGGTCCCACAGAGACCTCTTTTAATAGAGGTGCAGTATTTTTTAAACTCATTGCTTTTTCTCTTACTGCCTCTGAATCCCTTATCTTCTCCAGAGAGCTGGAAGATTTTTCCAGAATACCATGGGCTGCAAAGGACTGGGCTGTGGCGCAGTTAGCTGAGAGCTAGCTGCATTAAATCACTACCGACCAAGAGGTCATGTGTTCGAAGCCAGCCTGAGTCTAGCTTGCTGTCGACCTATGCAGCCCAAAAGACAGTTGCATCTGTCAAGTAAGAAATTTTGGTGTTGCTTATGCGGGGAGGCTAATTTAACTAATTTATGATGCCATTAAAAAAAACTTCCACCAGTGTGCAGAAGAATGAGGAAGTACTCCATCAAAGGAGTACTCCATCAAAGGAGATAGCTGTCACTTCACAATGGACAGTGAAATGACAGCTATCTCTGTGGCTGGAATCGAGCCGGAATCCAGGATACTCTTATGAAGCTGGAAAAAGCTTGAGCACACTTGGAATGTTAAAACTGCCTCTGCCTCTGTCTATATATGTTGTATGTCTAAATGGCATTGAATGTTCGCCATGAATATGTGCATTGCAATCTGCCCTGAGTCCCCTCCGGGGTGAGAAGAGTGGAATAAAAATACTGAAAATAAACAATAAATAAATAAAGCAAGGGGAATTACAAATAACTGCTACTATCCCTGTCCATAGAGACATCCACTAAATCAGTAATTCTCTATCTCTAATTTTTTATTTTCCCCCCAACTTCCATTAAAAACTCTGGTATTGACATGGAGAACTGGGAAGCCCTGGCCCTTGAGTGCTCCAACTGGAGGTCAGCTGTGACCAGCAGTGCTGAAGAATTTGAAGAGGCATGAATGGAGGGCGAAAGAGAGAAACGTGCCAAGAGGAAGGCACATCAAGCCAACCCTGACTGGGACTGCCTTCCAACTGGAAACCAATGCCCTCACTGCGGGAGAAGATGCAGATCAAGAATAGAGCTCCACCTACGGACCCACCTATGGACCCACCGCCAGTACACCGATCTTGGAAGACAATCCTACTCGGACAACGAGGGATCACCTAAGTAAGTAAGTAAGTACACAAAGTTTTGTATAAAAAGGAAGGAAGGAAGGATTTATCTAATCCTGCAACTTCCATGTTTTTCTCCCAGCCTTCACCAAAGAGTTCTTGATTAGTAGCTACATGTCCTTCAGTGGCTGATTCAATGACATAGGAACTGGTCTTGCTTGTTCAAGGTGGAATTGCCTTATTCCAAATCCAGTTTGCTTCTTTTAATTTTTTTCCACAGACACAAAAATTTTGCTTCATAAATATCTATAAGAGGCTTAAAATAAGCCCTCTCCTGTGCTACAAAACTGCCTCGCTATTACAGTCTTCTAGGTAAACGAGTTGCCGAATCAGCCACAGTGGTTGGGCTGCAGTGCTTGAATGAAATTGGTATTTAATAATTGAATGCTGAGTTAAAAGTAATTGGAATCCTTCCCAGACCTCCATAAAGCAAGGAGGACTCTGCACACACATATGCATGGATCTGTACTTCTCCCTTGGCTCTGAGGCACAATGGGGCAAATAATCAGTCATTTGTGGCTTAGTACTGTCCCCACACATGGATCTCAAAGCACTTTTCGAATATCATTAAGCAAGCCATACAGATGTCACCTTTTCCAGGAAATGTATTTACAAAAAATGTGAATCTTTTCTTAAACAGTAGAGAAACAGACAGAAAATATAACTATTTAAATGAATATTAGATCCAAATAACAAAAGATAACAGCATCTGCCTGCAATATTGTAACCAAGGAATAAACCTCATTGAGCTTATTTCCGAGCAGACATGCACAGGATTGTATTGCCTGTCTCGAACATTTAATACATTTACTAGTTCAATTGGACACTGCGCAAATTACTTCTGAGCTAACAGAAATAGGAGTGCACTGTCTGTGACAGTATCCTAATTGTCTGATTTAAGCAGGGCTGGCTCTCCCATTAGACAAGGAGAAATCTCCATCTCAGGTGGGCACAGCGGGAGGGTTGGCAAACACTGACTTTCCCTTTCCAATGCAGAGAGTAAATCTGCCACTGCTTCAACACAATAAAAGCTCTTGGGAGCCCTATAGACAGTCCAGGTGTTTTGGACTGCAACTCCCAGAAATTCCAGCTGGTTTTCTGGCTGTTAGGAGTTGTGGGAGTTGAAGTCCAAAACATCGAGAGGGCCTAAGTTTGCCCATGCTTGCCTACAGATCTTGGCATCCCACTGCTGCAGTGGGACTACAACTGGAGTATGTGTGTGTGAGAGTGGGGGAAGAACCATGGAGCGGCCTTCCTACCCATTTTCTCACTTCATATGTACCAATGGTTCTCAACCTTCTTAATGCTACGACCCCTTAATACAGTTCCTCATGTTGTAGTGACCCCCAACCATAAAATTATTTTCGTTGCTACTTCATAACTGTAATTTTGCTACAGTTGTGAATCACAATGTAAAGATCTGATATACAGGATATATTTTCACTCACTGGACCAAATTTGGCACAAATACCCAATACACCCAAATTTAAATGCAATTTTCCTGCTTCTTGGCAGGGGGTTGGCCTGGATGGCCCATGAGATCTCTTCCAACTCTATGATTCTATGATTCTATCTAACATTGCGTATTTTTACAGTGAGCCTTTGGTATCTGCTGAGTTTGATTCCAGGATCCACCCCCGCTATGGATACCAAAATCCATGGACGCTGGTCTTGAAATTCATGAGAAACAGACCAGAAAAAGGAAGTACACATATGGCTATATTAAAAAACCCAAACAGTAAGTACAGATATCAACTCCTGCCAAATCTCAAGGCTTTTTTGCCCAATCTGGAGGCATCCCAATTCCTTCAATCGTCATTTTGAAAGCCAAAGTGAGACAGAAATAAATAAAATGCAATTCTAGACTACTAATCACAACCATTTTTGTTGAACCTGTTACAATTTGGAAGACAGAAAAGCAACATCAAGCTGCTCAAAATAGGGTTACACTACCTGAGTTTCCCTGAGTCATGGAGTCATAGATGAGTTTGCAAGATTTCAGTAGGATGCTAATCTTCTTCTCTGGGGAATAAGCTTTGGACATAGTTGTGAATTTGTGTAGGATTTTCTCCAGAACCGCAGCTTCGGGCACGCTGGTGGTGACTCCCAAGTCAGTGGTAGTCGTATTTTGGATGACTTGTTGATTTTCTTTGAGGAGCCTGAAGGATCCATCTTTGTTGTGGATTTCCCTTAAGTAGGAATCAATGGCCTCTTTTAAAGGCTTCAAGACACACTTGTGCAACGCCGACTCAATAATCACCTCTGGAAAAGCGGAAAAGGAATATGTCAGCAATAAACAGATTAGGATAGACAGGCACATGCTTCTTAGAAGTTGTATAGAAGTACAGTTGGCCCTCCACATTTATGGGTCTGACTTTCGCAGATTTGATTAATATGACCCTCTAGGAATCTCTAGGTCCTCCAAGTTGTGCTGAAGAACCTAGAGATTTCTAGATTGGAGTACTCTCAAGTTAATATTTTAAATTTGTGTTTTCCCTAATTTTGCAGGGGTCAACACCCCTAATCCAGTAAATGTGGAAGATTGTAAAATGATTGGTACATACTAGTGTATATACTGGTTGTTTATAAGTTTATTGAGTCTATATATTACATGTTTTGCCTTGAGTGCTATTTATTTGTTTTTTGGCACTGAATGTTTGCTATGTCTGTTTTTCTTGTGAATTTCCCTGAGTCCCTTTGGTGAGAGTGGATGGTCTATAAATAAAGTTTTTAGAATTATTTATTATTAGTATGCAAGAACTGGAATTATTGACATAGTATTCAATATGACAGGAAAAGCTCTTAAACCTGGTGGATATAAATTAGAGTATGGGGTGGTTCATGTAGGTGGAGCATTAGGGCAGCAATTCTATCTTTCATTTAAATCTACAGCAAAAAGTACTGAAATTTCTGAAGTATTTTTCTTTTCCTCTTGCCAGATTCATGGCTATATAAAATGCTTTATATCTTGTCAGATAAAAGGTCAATTTCAAAAATTGGAAAGCTTATTATTTGGGGTGACAACTCCCAGACTCACCCAGGTAACAAAGGTAAATTATGAAGGTTGGTGGATTCTGGAAGCTGTAGTCCAATATGAAAAGATTGTGGCAGAATGAAAATCATGCGTAGTTCACATCTTTACCAATCCACACACTGTCTTGCTAGAGAAAAGATATGCTACACAGATAATCAGTAAAATATAAGGTGTTTACTCTTTGTTATTCAGAGCAACACATATACAGTCACGTGAACAGTTGCATTGACTCGCACAATGTCCTTTGAGAAAGATTCAAATATTCCTTAGGTGTCCATATGAAGGATCTTCTTCCAGCAGTTCAGAAGCAGAAAATATACTATCTTGTCTTGGCAAGCTCTTGAACAGAAAGCCTAAACATGTAACTGTTGCCAAAACTCCCAGGCTCAGCTAGCACCCCAGGCGTAGTCCAACCAAACAGCTTAGTGCTCTGTATTTTTCCGTTAACACACTCACCAACTGATTTTTACATGCTCCAACAAATATCATTGAATTCTGCTGATGGTTTCTTGAGTGACCTTTTCTAACAGATAAATCTTACAAACAACTTGCAGAAAATAAATAAATAAAAGCAATGCAAACTATACATAATATAATGTAACACCCACTCACAATGAATAAATTACAACTATCCTAAAGCTGATATTTTTTAAAATGATTTAATCTTTGTCCCGTCCTTTCATCATCTCATGTTTTTCTGCTTATTAAGAAAATTCATCCTGATATGTATAATCTTAGGCTAGCTTTGGTGAAATCATATTTAAATAAACAATCATGTTATTCTCTATCAGCATAAAAATGAGTCATGGTTTTAGACCTGGTTAAGGAAAAGAGACTGCTTTAGTCTCCTTGGTGGATGACCTTAGCAGAGAGCTAGACAGGGGGAATGTATCCCTGTTGGTTTTCTTGGATCTCTCGGCGGCTTTTGATAATATCAACCATGGTATTCTTCTGGACCAGCTCTCTGGGATGGGCCTTCATTCCTGGAGGGTTGGACCCAGATAGTGGTGCAGGAGGATGCCTGCTCAGACCCTTGGCCATTGGCCTGTGGTGTCCCGCAAGGCTCTATTTTATCTCATGCTTTTCAACATCTACATGAAGCCACTTTGTCTGGAAGCTTCAATTAGTGTAAAGATCTGCAGCCAAACTACTTACAGGGGCAGGCTGTAGGGAACATATGACTCCCCTCTTAAAGCAGCTCCACTGGCTGCCAATTTGATTCCGGGCCCAATTCAAAGTGCAGGTTATTACCTACAAAGCTCTATGTGGCTCGGGTACTGCCTATTTATATACTAAATATATGAAAATGTAAAGTTTTTATATGTTTTAATGAGTTTTAATTCTATCTTAAAATGTTTATGTTAATTGTACATTGTTTTTAAGGCATTGAATAGTTGCCTTTGTGTAAAGCCGCTTTGAGTCCCCTTCGGGGTTGTTTTACCTTCTCCCCCAAAACTCATTTTGCATGAAAGCATATGCTCAACTGGCAGGAATAATTCTGATTAATGTCATTCCATTTATTCAGCTGCTTTTAGAATGCACATTATTCTTCTCTCTTACTTGGTACAAACTGAGTTCAAAGTTCAAATGTAGTACACACTGAATGAATACAGTGTGGGAGAAAGGATGAGACACACTCACTCTTCCCAGTAGGTCCAGGCAAAAACAAACAGTTCTCTCCTCTCTTATGTTCTCCCTCACGAATATGTTTTGCCATTGTGACCACAACTCTGTTTTTACTTGACCAGACATGTCCGTTTTAATCTGTGAAATGTTGGAGGGTCTGGGAACTTAATAAGTGCACATAGCTCCATTCCTGGGAAATGGGGGAGTCAACTAGCCTACAACTTTCATCATTGCCAGAATGAGGAAGGTGTCACAAAGCTGATTTTAGCAAAGTCTTGGTGAAGTAATGGAAAACAATGACGATGACAAGAAAGTAAGCCAAAATCCTTCTGAGCAATTTGAGTAAAATATTGTCACATCTTAGACAAATTCTTCAGCAACCCATACAGAAGAAATAATAGATTCTGCAAAAGCTGGCATGAGTGTGTATAGTGGAACAGTAAGAGTGAAGGCAGAGGGTGAAGATACTCCTCAAATCCCTTCTTCTTGGGATTTCTCAGAAAGTGGGATCATGGGGTGCCAATGGGGGAAAGTATTTCTCATTCTGTGTTTACTTTGAAAGGGCAACAGAGCATCCAGGAGGAAATGTCGACAATATGACTGTGTAGAAAGATGATCCCCCAGGGCTGATGTTAAGTGAAGCAACTTTTTCAAGTTTTCATTTCCCTATAAGGCAGTTGGTTGCTTTGACTCCTACAGCTTTGCTGAGTACAACCTTCTGCAGCCTTGGCTGCTGTTAATGTACATTCAGCAGTATAAAACAGCCTATTCTACAGTTCAGGATGCTGCTCTTCATAGCCTGCTGAGGCAATTGCCTAATGGTTGCTTAACATCCAGCTAGTGACTAAGTATCTTTCTATCAGGCTTGCAAAAGAACCAAATTGCATCATGCCTGTCCTCTTCTCAACTCGACATGCACTTAAGCAAATTCAAACCTTTTGGCCAAAGAAACGGTTCCTCTTGTAGCAACAGAGACATAGAGTTCAAGCACTTAATTATACGAATTACACCTCTTTGAAAGGAACTTGAATATAAGTCAAATAATTGCAATCAAAGTCAAAGGATGCCAGATCTCAGGGCCTTCCATTATAGGGAAAAGGAAAGGTCTGTGTGCAAATCTCCAGATTGTTGCTGCAACGGACTCAAGGTGCATATTTCTATATACAGTGGGTTTCCAGGGTTCCCTACACATACCAAAATATGTGGATGCTCAAATCCCATTACAGGCAATTCACAAATTGAATTTGTAGGTAAGTCAGAACAGGCATGTTTTAAACTGTAACTCCAGCCAAATTTATATGCTTTGGATCACATAGGGGTTAACACCCATGTGGTGTTTGTTTTGCTGTCTGTGCCCCTGTTCAGAAGATTTCACCTCACTTTCTGTCCCTGTGAAAATTGGATTTTTAATAATGTGGCTTGTTGTGGAAACAGAGATTGGTTATAAAGCTTCGGTGGAGATACCTTTGTCCCACGACAACTCTATAAGCCCTATGAGGAGTGGCTTAAAGAGCTGGGTATGTTTAGCCTGCAGAAGAGAAAGCTGAGAAGAGATATAATAGCCATGGAGACTAGGATGCAAAACAATGGCTTTAAACTACAGGAGATTCTACTTGAACATTAGGAAGAACTTCTTAACCATGAGAGCTGTTCAGCAGTGGAACTCTCTGCCCCAGAGTGTGGTGGAGGCTCCTTCTTTGTAGACTTTTAAGCAGAGGCTGGATGGCCATCTGCCAGGGGTGCTTTGAATGCAATTTTTCTGCTTCTTTGCAGGGGGTTGGACTGGGTGGGCCACAGGTTCTCTTCCAACTCTATGATTCTATGATTCTTCAAGAGTAAATTTCCCTTCCGAGGGGTAGATTTATCTCACTTCCTGTTGCCTCACCCCTGTTCTTAACTATGAATTGTTTGTAAGTTGGGGACTGCCTGTCTATACAACGGACCTTATTTAAAAAGGTCTGCAAGGAGAAATTTAGTTTTGAACATTTCCAAGCCACTGATGGTTGAATTTGTGGGTGTCGAACCAGTGGATATGGAGGGCCAGCTGTATTTACTTAGCCTCCTGCATCCCACTCATTCATTGTTGTGCCAGAATTTAATATCCTCTGCAACCAGCTTCTGGCTAGTGTGATAGATTACCCTATATACTCATGTATAAGTCTAGAAATTTTAGTGAAAAAAATCAACCGAAAAATCTGGGTCAACTTATTTAAGATTTAAGACAAATTAGCCATTCTTTGCATGATAGCTCATAAAGGCTTGGAACAATGACTTTTTTAAAGACTACAACTCTCAGAATCTCCCAGCTTGGCTTTGTCAGGGAGAGACAGGTCAGAGACAGAATGTGCAGTCCTTACAGAGCCTGAGATGTTATGTTTTCATGGATGATGAAGCATCACCCATTTCTAGCAATCTTTTTGTCTATGATCTTGTTGCTATATGTACGTTCTAATGTGCAGATTCCTTTACTCTATGGTTTCTGAGAAATTATAAAAGGGGTTGCAGACCACATACTCTTCTCTCTCCTTTTTGGCATTTTCTCCTTTTGACAATGTGACTTGTTGATAGCTGTTTTGTTACAAGAGAGATGCCCTGGCCGGCTGGCACGGGGAACCATCTCAAAGACATTTGTAACTGGACTAATAAGTTTTTGTACCTGTGTATGCTGATCACATGAAAATTGTGAGTAAACCAAATATGTTATTTACATCAAAGTCTACTTCATTTTTGTCTCTTAAGTGCATGATATGAAACTCAAGAGATAAGAGAGTACTTTTTGGGGGGCACTAATAAAAACACTTCTAATTTATTTATTTATTTACAGTATTTATATACCACTTTTCTCATCCCTGGGGGGACTCAATGCGGTTTACACAGAAATAGTGGAAAAATTCAATGCCTTACAAATGTACACCATATTACAATCAACACCATATCAAAAGCTCTGCTGTTTTGATGCACTGGCAAACCTTTGTTTTCCTGATGGATCGGAGATTGCTGGTTATTCAGTCTAACACCTGAAACCCTTGCCTAGCATAATTATATTTGGTTGTATAGTACAAGAGGACCTTCTGCTCTAAAGAGTTTTTGGCTCTTCTCTAAAAGGTTATATTCCAGTTCCAGAATATAACCTTTTAGAGAAGAGCCAAAAACTCTTTAGAGCAGAAGCTTCTCTTGTAGTATACAAATAAATATAATAATGTCTAAAGTTCTGGAACAGACAGCCGTGATCATGATCTCACACCAGTTCCAGAACTTTAGACACATGTTGTACATAAATATATATTGTGCCATTATATGCAATATATGGGGGAAGATTCAATTCAAGGAGCACAGCTCAGAAGAACCAAGGAAGATACAAACCAACCCTCCAGAAAGACCATTTTCTTGCTTCCTACTCAGCTATTGCACCTATCTAGTCCCAACCCATCGCCTCACTTACATGAAACATTGCCTCGCTGTCATAGTTCAAGAGAAGGTAAAGTAAAAACAAGAAGGAAAAAAAATCATTGTCACTGGATCAAAAATGCAGAAACTCATTAGGGCTCTGACATTGTGATCAAGTGCATAAAATTTCAAAGATTAATGATATACTTTTCAGTCCGGGGAAAGCCAATGTTTCTCAATGTAAAATGGCATGACTTCATGACTGTCAGTCTTAAATCCTGGAAAAAACTGAGGGGAAGATTGGAGGGAAGTTTTTTTTCATTGTTACCATTTCCTGGCCATTATGACCAGGAAACATGCTGATTGGGGAGCCTGGGACAAATAGTTCCCAAAGGTAAACTTTCCCAAGCTCTTAGGAAAAGGATGTGGCACAAATGCAAACAATAGCATACCAGCCAAAATTCAAAGCCTAGAATGTGCTCTTTGACTGCACTGCTTCTTCCAAGACCCTGTTTTAAATGTTGACATAAAATTAGATTAATACTCTTGATTTACACACATAAATATTTGAGACTCAGCGGATGATAGTCGCTGCCAAATGCAAGAAACCTGTGTTCTCCGGATGATGACTAACTTCATTTATATGCCACCTTTTCCCCAAAACTCAGGTGCAAGGCAGCTTACAAATTAAACTAAATGCAAAACTCCCCACAAATATAAAACCATCCCAGGTCAACATTAAAATGGAGTTAAATGATAAATAACATTAAAAAATAATTGAAAACACGCAGTTAAAGTAATAAAAAGCAATTAAAATAACTGTAGGAAAACCAGATTTTTCTTTAGATACCTTTTCTTTTAAAACTTTGGACGCAGTAGATGTCAAATACAGAAATCATATACCATATATACTCAAGTATAAGCCGAACTGAATATAAGCCAAGGCACTTAATTTTACCACAAAAAAACCTGGGAAAACGTATTGATATGAATGTAAGCCAAGGGTGGGAAATGCAGCAGCTACTGGTACATTTCAAAATAAAAATAGATACCAATAAAATTACATTAATTGAGGCCTCAGTAGATTAAATGTTTTTGAATATTTACATAAAACCATATTTAAGATAAGACTGTCCAACTCTGATTAAACCATTATTCTAACCTCCTTCAATGTAAACATGCTTATGTATCCTTCCAATGTCAACAGCGAGTAAAATAATAAATGTAATAATAACAGTCATAATAGAATAAAATAATAACTGTAATAATAATTGAGTAAAATAATAAATGTAATAGTAACAATAATAAAGAAAAATAATAAATGTGATAAAAATAATAGAATAAAATAATGTATGTAATAATAATAATAAATAAAGTAAAATAATAAATGTAATAATATTAGAGTAAAATAATAATGTAATAATAACAATAATTAATAGAGAAAATAATAAATGTGATAAAAACAATAATAATAGAATAATATAATGTAAATGTAATAATAATAATAAATAGAATAAAATAATAAATAATCTTGACTTGAGTATAAGCTGAGGGGGGCTTTTTCAGCCTAAAAAGGGGGCTGAAAACCTCAGCTAATACTCAAGGAGATATGGTGTATCTCCATTCTCCTAATGATTTCTTAAATTGCTCCCTTCTCTCAATTACCTTTTTAATACCATAACACAAACACAGAGCTGCCCCTATCTTTAGTGTCAGATTTCTGAGTCTTGAAATGATAGATAATTTTTATTTCCATATTCTATTACAACTGTTTTGTCCATTTGCCTTTTACTGCCAGTAAAGGGACAAGGCACTGGCAATATTGTTTGCTTTAGGTGCCAAAATAATCTGATTGGACTATGATACCATAGTGTTTGACTTCAAGATAGAAAAGCCACTCATTTATTGCTCTGCATCAAATATCTTGGAACATCTGGGAAAAAAATGAGGATAGCATCACTTACCTAGTTGTTCATCTGTGTGAACGGTCTGGTCCATAAAAGTTTTGAGTTCCATGCTTTGGATTAAATAGCTCTTCAGCTGCGTCATCATTAAGCGAATCTCTTGGAGCATCTCTGTGCTGGAGCTCTGCTTGGCCATCATCTCCAGACTGTACACTTTATAGTCCTGCACCAAGTTGCCAAAGTACGAGTCCTTATCTTGAGCCAACTCCACAATCTTCTTCTGGAGCTTTCTGTCAGCAGACAGGAAAGCCGTGAAGACATTACTCAGGCTGACCATGGACAGACGATGCCTTGCTTTGCCTAAAATCATGGACCGGGTCTTCTTCACAGAAGGGCTGCTCACCGACTCCGTCTCATCCTCAGTGCTACTGGTGGAATAGGAGTCAAGCTCAGAAGTGGTTGTTGGAAGGCCAGTATTGCCTACTGGACAATGCAGTGAGTCATGAGAACCTCCACAATCTGATGTGCTGGCAAGTTTATGGGTTGCTTTAGATTCCCTTTTTATGTCAGAGCAAGTTTTTTCTCCTGTCTGTGAGCTTTCATCAGGATTGAACACTTCCAGGTCTTCAGTGTTCATGTGCTTTGAATATCCAGAGCTGGCAGATGACGGATATCGGGAAAGCCTCTTTTTTCTTGGAGGTGGAACAGGAGGCCCTGTGGGTTTCTCTGTGGGCTTCCTTTGCAACTCAGTTGGCTTCTTGGCCTTATTTCCAAGTTTCATCTCCAAAGCTGCTGAGGAGGTCTTCTCCATCTTCTCTTCCAACACCTGTGTTCCTTCCATGGCTTGGATATCTTTGGCACAGCTGTCATTCTCTATGGACTTCTTTTGTGACTCAATTGGCTTCTTAGCCTTATTTCCAGGTTTCAGTTCCAAAACTGCTGAGGAGGTCTTCTCCATCTTCTCTTCCAACACTTGTGTTTCTTCCATGGCTTGAGTATCTTTGATACAGCTGTCATTCCTACCATTCTGCTTTGCTACTTGTTCACCTTCTGGTTTTGGGACTGACCCTGACTTGTCAAAACAGCTTTTCCCTGACGGTCTTTCAGTTGAGCATCTTCTTGGTGGAACCAAAGGGGGTAAGCATTTCTTGGGAATGGCAGATGAAGAGGAGTCACCAGGAAAGAAGGATTGTTGCCCATCCTTCTCTTTAAAAGCTTCAGTTTTCATCTCCTTTTTGTTCTTCCCCAGATCCTGCAGGTGGTCCTCTTCAGACGTGGTCATGGAAGGCCTGTCAGGCTGCTTCAGAACATGTAGAGGTGGTGGTGGTGGTGGAGGTGGAGGAGGAGGAGGAGGTGGAGGAGGAGGAGGCCGGCGGCTTGGCGTCTTCTTTTGTGGACTTGTCACAGTATTTCTAGTAAAAGAAGAGCTCTCCCTGCCACTCTCTGGGGGAGGAACGTTCAGGGGAAACCAATGGCTTCTCTCTTCTATAAAAATAGGATTTACAAACCACAACCTGTCATTTCCTATTGACAACTCAATTTCACATGAACAATTGTTTGCGCTGCTTGCAAAACACTGGTTGGTGTTTTTAACTTTTTTTTCTTGGGCTGTGGCGAAAGCAGGACTTCTCACAGCATGGGGAAATCTTCTGCCTTGCCTTTGATTTAAAGAGGAGTCCCAGAAACCTGTCCAAAAATACATATATGGTTAAAGAAATGACAAAGGGTTAGAAAAGAAAAGGCTCTCACGCCTTACTTCCAGATAAAAAAGAACTGCAGAATGTTTTTTATAAATCTGCATATTATTCTGTACTGCAATGAACTACACAACATTGTTTTAGAACTGAAAAAATCTTGTATAATCTTTGTATGAAATTCACAAATATTTTCATTCAAATAAGGGTTTATAGGTGCTAGAATAATCTGCTCAAGGCAGTATGAAAATTGACAACTCCCTTTGATTTAGAAAAGACAGGCATTTTAAAATAATTCTGCCAGTATTTAGTTAAACTGAATTGTTGCCAACACTGTGAAGCACCCTGAGTCCCCTTCGGGGTTGAGAAGGGCGGTATACAAATACCCCAAATAAATAAATAAAAAATAGTTGATTCTGTCAGTATTTAGTATTTACAGTACTTGATTCCATTTTGTTTAGCTACCACATATTAAACTGTATACAATTAGAGTGTTTTGTCGAAGGCTTTCATGGCCAGAATCACTGGGTTGCTGTGAGTTTCCATGGCCATGTCCCAGAAGCATTCTCTCCTGACATTTCATCCACATCTGTGGCAGGCATCCTCAGAAGTTGTGAGGTCTGTTGGAAACTAAGCAAGTAAGGTTGGTATATCTGTGGAATGTCCTCTTGCCAGTAACAGTGCAACAAGAGAACACAGAATGGTACAATGACAATTGGAATGGCCTCGGACTATGATATCGGATTGCGTGATTTTAAATAAGTGGTTTTCATGTTTAATATGTTTTTAGTAATTGTTTTAATATATATAATTTTTTTTATGTATGTGAGCTGCTGAACCTGTTGATTGAAAGGTCACAGGTTCGAATCCGGCGAGCGGCGTGAGCTCCAGCTGACACAACTAGACTTAACATCAGGGGAAAACCTTTACCTTTACCTTTATGTTCATGTGGCATTGAACTGCTGCCTATATATGTAAGCTGCTCTGAGTCCTAAGGGGTAAGAAGACGGGGTATAAATATGGTAAATAAATATATTGCCCTTCCCAGAAGGCTCAGGAAAAAGCAAACTGCAGTAGCCTCCCTCCTAGCTTATGTATGCTTCTATATCAATAACCTTTGGCATCTTGACCATACTCTGATATTGTGTGACATCTTGTGTGCTTCTTTTTATCTGTGAAATGTTGAAAGGCATGATAGTGTTGGTCTGGGAGCTGGGGTACTGAATTTCTACTGAACAATGGAGCCAATAATTCTTTCTTTCTTTTCTCCAAAAGTGCCCTACTCTGATTTCAGCGGAGGAAAGGTAAGATGTATCTTAATTAATTAATTAATTAATTAATTAATTAATTAATTATGTGGCTTTATAGCACATATGTATACACATATGGAAGGCCATCATGCTCAGACAACGAGGTATCACCTAAGTAAGTAATACACATGCTTCAGCTGAGAATTGAATTGTCCTGTGTTAAGCATGTCACAAAATGTATCAATTAAACACCTGACCTTAACCCCCTTTTGCAAGACATTACAGAAAACAAGGAGGGGAAAACAGCACATTTTCCAAAGGAGAAAATATTGTGTCCTTGAGTGCACATGAAAAATAATATTAAAGCATTATCTTCAATAGGTTTTGCTTCTTTTCAAAAGAACTTTAGGCTACTCAAGAAGCAAGTATTTGAAATGTTGATAATCAAATGTCTCTAAAGATTGAATCTACTCTGCATCCCACTTTAGAAGATTGGTTCTCATTTTTGTATTTGTTCCCCCTTGAAAACAAATGCCAATAAGTCTTACCTACTTTTTTAAAAAAAAATTAGGATATTAACTGTAAGAACTTTTGCTTTTAACAGAGTTAGAAGAGGCAGTATGTTATTCTTTGTAACCCTGAAGTTAGGAAATATAAGTGAAACTTCATTGTTATATTTAGAATTAATATGTGAAATATTGGTTACCACATAGTAAAGGTAAAGGTTTCTCCTTTATATTAAGTCTAGTCATGTCCGACTCTGGGGAGTAGTGCCCATTTCCATTTCTAAGCTGAAGAGCCGGCGTTGTCCGTTGACACCTCCAAGATCATGAGGCCAGCATGACTGCATGGAGCGCCATTACCTTTTCGCAGAAGCAGTACCTACTGATCTACTCACATTTGCATGTTTTCAAACTGCTAGATTGGCAGACGCTGGGCTCATCCTGCTGTTGTGCTTATCTCCATTTCTAAGCTGAAGAGCCGGCATTATCCGTAGACACCTCCAACGTCTAGTGGTTAGCATGAATGCTTGGAGCACCGTTACCTTCCTGCAGAAGCAGTACCTACTGATCTATTTACATTTGCATGTTTTTGAACTGCTAGGTTGGTGGAAGCTGGGTCTAACAGGGGGAGCTCACCTCCTCCCCGGATTCGAACCACCAACCTTTCAATCTGCAAGTTCAGCAGCTCAGCAGTTTAATTTGCTGCACCACCAGGGGGCCTGGTTAACACATGGTGCAAATTATCATTTTCTCCTAGTTGATGTTTCATTTGTGTGTTTATTTATTTTAGATGCCACTTTTCCACTAACAGTAACATTTAAGATAGCTAAAAATAAAACAAATACAGCTAAACCCACCCCCTCAAACCCACCCCCTCAAACCTTCACTGAAAGCAATACATTAAGTAATGTCCCATAGCACTTCTGCACAAGGATAAATAAAAGCTAAATGCAATCTTAGTTGCATCCTCAAGCCAAGATCCTGATGTTATATAACCAACCAACAAATGGTGTTTTAATAAAAGAAAAAGATTGCAGGGGGATGTGTAAACACGCCTTGTCTCTAGGGATGTGTGCATAAGCTTTGGAACTGTCACGACAAAACGGGGAATTCCTCCAGAAGGAAGTGGAAATTGACAACAAACAGGCAGTGCAGATTATGAAATCTTTCCTTTTGGAAAAGGAAACTTGAGTAGACTACCTGCCACTGCCTGCCCTTAGAGCTGATAAGGCTATGCAACGTCAAACATAATGCAAGCTGTTCTTTATATCTTTTAAAAGAAAGCTTAGAAAGGCAGTGTTGCTCAGGGGTAGACCACAAACACACACACACACACTACAAGCAGAAAACCCCAAATCTTATCCTTGGCATCTCCAGCTAATGTTGGGAAACAGACTTATCCGAATGTAGCCTCTCTCTGCTCTTTTATTTTGTCCATTTATTTCAATAATATAATTTTCAAAAGAGTGTTAAGTGAAAGTACAGGAATAATATCTCTTGTCAGTATGTATGTGTTTGTATGTGAGGAAATGTGTGTATGAGGCCAGCACAAGAGAACCATGGATGTCTATACTTGCGGCAAAAGGATGAACTCAAAATGTATCTGAAAGATGGTAAATGAATTCTCATTCTTAAAAAAAGCTTTCTTGCAAGAATATTTTCATTAATCTCAAACAAGAGGTAAACAGTGTTATAAGTTGTCTTTTCATATATGTTCAAATATTTTTGGGGCAAAGGCCGACATATATTTTGAATCCTTAAACATTTGATTTGTTTTTAAATGTCTATTTTAGAAAGTTAAATCACTTTAACGTGCTGTAACTACTGGAGGTTTTGTGTCTGTGACAAAGCATGTCTTTGTTGGCTAGGGTTTGAACCAGGAGCCATGTTTTCATCTGCTAATATCTATGTGCAAATAGTAAGACTACCATTCCCATTATCTCAATTGGGTCTAAAAACGTGATTTCTTGATTAAACAGTGCAAGATATGCAATAGTTACGGCAGCAACTCCCCCTAAACACCCAGCACAAAATATCCACACCCCAGGATTATTAAACTAGATTAGAGATACAAATATACAACACTGAGGTTTAAATGTTTAAAATGATAGCCGTCCCCCTTCCTCTTAAACCTAAAGGTGCCCCTACCTTGCTCGGTAAAGTGATACCAGTATCTTCACTCATTAATTTCTGTAGTCCTTTTAGCTCATTAGATCCTATAAGTCCCATTGAAGAGAGATTTATTTTGAACACGAAAACTGATTCAAGCAGTTTTTCTCCCTTCCACTCAGATATATGGTCAATGAGGGGGTTGATTATAACCCGCCTCCTTCCACTGAATATATTTACTTTAGTGCTCTAAGGAGTCCAAAAGGACATTTGAAAAGATAAAACAAATTACCAGGCAATTGCTCTAGGGTTATTAACTTCTGATAATCTTGGATGTCTGCTTTAAAAATCATCGGCCTCTGACACTATGAGAATCTCATTATGATTTAAGTTGCAAAATATAAATAGAAAATGATAGACTTTCCAGAAAAGTTCCTGTAGTTTACTAAAACATTTGTTGTCTAGTACATATAAACAAGAAGGACAATTATACCTAAATATGTGACATGGTTACAAAAGAAAGAAAAATGAGAAAATGCTCCTGTTCTGAGCAAACTGACAGGAGAAAATGTCTGTGTTAGAAGAGAAAATACAGAACATAAAAGGTTTTGAGATAGCTAAAAGTCAGAAGAGGTTTATCAGGATGTACAAGATCTATTAATGCTTGTAAAAGTGTTAATAATAGAGCTAAGGATTTTTTTACATTGTTAATTATATTTATTTTACAGGAGAATTAAAGAAGTGCTGTAGGCATTTTAAAAAAGCCTTTCTAGAAATGGGTGCAAGCAAACTAACAATTTTTGTTTAAAGTTCAACAGGAATTTAGAAGTGGCCACTGCCCAAAGAAGACACTGTTCATGATGAAATTGCAATTGCCATAATTGGGAGTTACAGTATTAATTTAATAAGTAAATAAGGTGCACATGTTGTTTATACTTGGTAGTTTTCACAGAACCAAAGTAGGAAGAAGTGCATTAAAAAGCATGTTGGGGATGATGGCATTGGTTATCCACAATCTGGTGTCAATGATCATTGACCATATATGTTTGTTTCAGAAAGTCAGAGCAGCCAGTCTCAGATTTCTGAAATGAACAAAATAATTTGAAACATTGGGTTACTGAATGTTTGTTTGTTTCAAAGAGAATAAATGATTAATGTTACAGGGAGAAAGAAAGTTACTGTGAAAAGCATTAAAAGGTTTAAAGATGACAGGACAAGGTTGAAAACTGGAGTTTGGATTGCACACTCACACATGGTCAATCTAATGTTGAAAGAATTCCTACAGTTAAATGAAGGTTTTACATTTGAAAGGTTTATATTAAAAGTGGATGTTGGGAGGACAGACAGATAAAAAGTTTTGGTTTATGGTTTAAGTTGATGGCTCATGAGAGGTCGGGGGAGAACATGATAATAACTGTGATAGTAGATGAGACATTTTTGGATACCTTAATTTGCATTACACTTTCACATATGCGAAGTCAAAAGTAATGTTATATGCTTGAAAACTTGATAATGAAGAATAAAGTTTTGCTACAGAAATACAATGATAATAAACAAATAAGGAAATGGTTGGGGAAAACATCGTTTTGGATTTGTGCAGAAAAAGAAAGAGAAGCAGAAAAACAACAGGTTGTGAGGCTTGGTGTTTAAAACAGCCCTGGGGACAGGGTAAAACTAAAGAAAGAAAGGGATTTTTAGTGTTTTAGGCAATATTTAAGGGCCGCTGCTTCATTTTGAATCTCTAAAGCAACTTTCATATTCTGAAGGCAACAGGGCATGTATTTATGCTTGAAGAAAGGAAGACTAACTCACCACAAAGTATTCTTTCAGTAAGAAGTGGAGTTGCTACAGATCAGATTTATGCTACCAATGTAACTTACCTATCCCAAGGCTAGAGATGGTTTCTAAGTCTGTAGAGCTATTGGCTTCCAATATTGCTTGTGGTAGTCTCAATGTGAAGGGAAGCAAATCTCTAGGAAAGTTGGGGACAGGATGAAGAGAAGAAGCAGAAGCACAAACAGTTGAATGTGGTTTGGCAGATAAGAGCTTTTCAGGTGGTTTTACATATTTTTCTCTTTTGCTTTAAATGCAGCTCTTAGGAGACATACTTGTTTTTTTTTTATTATAAGCAGTCTAGAGAACACATGAGATAGGCATGTGGAACAGATTAGATAATCATCTGCTGACCAGCAGATGAGTATCCATCTACTCCACATGCCTATCTCATCTCAATAAAATGCATACATACAATCCTACTGGAAAGGCCCCAGCATTAGGCAAAACAAAGCATTCATATCAGAAAGCAAATGCGGAGGAATTGGGAAACTTTCCCTGAAGAGAAGGCTTTCCCTGAAGAGACTGCATAAACCAGTGGTTCCCAACCTTTGGTCCTCCAGGTGTTTTGGACTTCAGCTCCCACAATTCTGCTGGAGATGGGCAGAATTCCATCAATAGCATCCTTGATGCTTGATGCCATTACAAGACCAACAGGCAGCACATACATTCAACTTACCTACTGACACAGTAGAATGCAACTAGTCTGAAAATGTCTTCAAACACAAGGAGAGATCCTTCCAGGTACAGAACTGATGAAAAGCAAGAAAAGAATTCAGAGGTTATTCTCACTAAATGAGAATGATGGATATATTCATTCTGAAATGGTAATTTAAAGGTTACTGATGTTTACCCAACTCTTTTTCAAGAGGTACAAGCATAATATAGTGAACAAAGCCTTTCAAAAAGATCTATGCAATTCCTTCCCCCTTTTCCTCTATGTAGACAGAATCTTTTTAGTGCCATCAGTATTGGGAAAATAGTGAAGGGGGGCTGGAATAATACACATTTTGGTGCTGCTGGGTTGCACCAGCGTATCAGCAGTAAACAATGCAATAAATGTTAGCATGGGAAAGGACAGGATGCTATTTTAAGCAATCCTACTGTAGCCATGCGTGCCTGTCTACAATACGCAAGGTTGACAGCAGCTGCCTCCCAAATCCCTTACTGGGCATGAATGAATGGCAAAACAAAGGCCAGATAAAACTGCTTCTGTTACCCCCAACATGTTTTGTTTAACAAAGATGAGGATAGTGCTGTAACTTTGGTCATGGCAATAGAAATTCTAAGAAAAGTGGGACTGGTGAAAGAAAAAAATCATTCCTGGAAATATTTGGGGGAGAAAACATTCAACTGTTCTCCAAAGATTCAACTTTTTTTTTTGTTGACATATGCGAGGCTTATCTGACCTGGTTGTTTCACTTCACATGTGCAAATTGTTAGTTTTGAATAAAACATTTGCTGAAACAAGTTCAGGTGCTCTTCTTTTTTGTGGTATAAGAACTAATCCCCATTCTTTCCATATTATATCCACTTCTGGCATCATTTTTTTTAAAAACGTGTAATGTTCACGAACATATCTACTTTGTTATCTGAGATATATTTGTACTTTTTTAAAAAACAAAAAGGGACAAAGGTAAACATTTGTTGCATATTTTTAAAGTTAAAGAGTGGAAACTCAGCTTTTTAAAGCACGCTTTAGTATTCACAACACTGGAACATATTTTGCATTTCCCAGACCCAGAATGCAAATGTAAAACCTACGCTGGCTAGAATGTATATTTGACTTAAAAATAATTGCCTTCCACTTCTTAACTTACAGTAACAACATTCACAGATGGGCACAAAAGTGCAAAGGGAGCTGGAAAGTGTTTTCAGTTTCAAATAGGAAAATGTTCTTCATAGCTGATTATGAGCTTGGGTAATCTGGATGTGCTAGAAAGGGTGATTTAGTGACTTGTTATTGTGCATGCACAGCAAGGGCAGCAGAGTGGCAATCTCTCATAGGAAGGAGTGCTGAAAAATCAACTTAAAATCAATTAATCAACTTAATTATTAATAGTTATTAATTATTACCATAGTTTTGTCCATGTCCTTTTGACTGGTCTGGTATGGTGAATGGTATGGCCAATCAAAGTAGAAGGCTTTTGTATTGTCGAAGGCTTTCATGGCTGGAATCACTCAGTTCTTGTGGGTTTTTTTTGGGCTATATGGCCATGTAGCCCGAAAAAACCCACAAGAACTGAGAAGGCTTTTCATTTTTGAAGGCCCATTGGACTTTGCTTTGATGAGTTATTAAATAAATATAGTAAATAAATGTTTGGTGTCTTACACAAGTTGTCCTATGGAAGCCATTGAACTATTCTGTCCAATGTACAACAACCACATTCAATGTTGCTAAACTGAGGTTGCTCATGTGATGGCATTGTATGTGCAGAGGGATGTGTGCTTGAGATGGCACATGAAATGCACATTTCATTGTACATTAGATTGCCTATCTGAGTATGCATTTAGTTGTCCAACAGTGCCATTCAACATAAGAGCTGCATACTATAACCATAACCAACATATAGCTCCATGGGTAGAGATTTACACTAATCTTCTTAATGCAGAATATTGGCCACTCTTTAACAGTCTAGGAAGAGACTTAAGATTACTCCTTACAACCCCATGAAAACAAACATGCCTCCCAAGTACTAGAGAACACGATTCCCATTTGATTCTTTAACTAGTATACTGTATACAAGTATCCTCCATCTTTACTCATACAAAAACAGAATTTATTACCTATTACTCTCTAAACTATTGCATTAAAGAGGGCCAGCATGCTGTAGGGGTCCAAGCATTGGACAAGGAAGCTGGAGACCAAGATTCATGTCTTCACTCAGCCATGGGTGACCTTGGACATGTCACATTCTTTCAGCCTCAGGTGGAAACAAAGGCAAATGCCCATCTGAACAAATCTTGTTAAGCAGATCCCATGACAGGGTTGCCTTGGAGTTGTCATAAATCAGAGATGACTTGAAGGCACACAACAACAACAACAACAACAATCAGAAAAAATCACAACTGTGAATTCTGTTAAAATAACTGGCTCTCTCCCAACTGGTTCAGTGCTATAGCATTCGAACTGTTGCTTCCACATCCATGTGAACACATCTTGGAATGCCCCTCCATAGGAACAAGTTGTTTTAACATAGGGGCCCTCTCAGTTGTAGCACATTTTAAGTTCTTAAACAAAGCTCAAAACCATTTGCAGTAGGCAGAAATTACAATACGACAGTAAAGAAATTTTTCTAATTAAAAAAATCAATCCTTTTTCCTGTCTCATTTTTTTTCTGATTCAAATCCCTTGTGATTTGGAGTTTATTTTGCTCTATATGCCACCCAGTTATTTGCCCAAACAAGAAAGGGTAGCTTTGGTGGGTGCAACCTAAAATCTCGACTTCCTGGGCAGATGGAAGATGTATTTATTTTGTAACAAAAGCATTGCATAAATAAATAAATAAATAAATAAATAAGTTTAAAACTGATAAAATGAAGGGAGCATAAGCAACTAAATAGTTTTAGACCAAAAACGGGCAACAGTGACTGCATTGTCTGTAGCTTTAAACAGTTCTTCCTCTGGGCATGAGGCAGGGCATTGTGGGCAAGCATACAGATGCAAAGCTGTTTGTTCTGCTCAGCAGTCATACAAGGTGGAGGATTCTTCTAGGTAGTGCCATTTTGCCAGGTTGACATTTGATGTGCCAACTCCACTCCTGAGTCTGTTCAGGGACTTCCAAGTTGCCCATTCTTGGTTTGCCCCTAAAGGAAGACCCTACAGGTTTCAGGTGTGTGAAAGCCATCCACTGTAGACTTAAATCAAGGAAAAGTTTCCTGAGAACCGCCACTCTTCTAAATGTTCCTCCAGCAACAGCAAGATGGGAGATGTTCAGGAGAAAACATTTGAGGAAAGGTTGAAGGAGAGGGTTTGTTGAGTTTGGTGTAGATAAAACTTCAGGGTGATATGATTGCACGCTTCAAATATCTAAAAATCTGTCACAGGGAGGAAGAGACAGGCCTGTTACTAGCTGCCCCAGAGAGTAGTACTGTAGGATGGGACTGAAATGTCAGCCTCACAGTATCGCCTAGGTGGGACACAAAGCTAGGATGTGCCCTGAAACTGAGCAGGAAGAGAGGCAAGAAACAATAACCATATTGCTTTCAGTCCAATCTACTAACAGCACTGGTTGAGACAGAGTATATTTAAAGCAGCAATATTTTACAGAACTTCAGAATTAAGTAGAAAATGCTTTCCCTTCTCAATGTGATGAAATGACAAAGTGTGATGAGAAATATATAATATATACATGGTACTTCTCATCTATGTGACCCACACAGAATCAGATACATTAGATGGGGTGGTCCTGGACACATGATATTGCAATGATAGTATTTCTACCATAGCACAAATGGCAGTTCAGCAAACGATACAGGTCACAGGTGGGTTGTCAGCAATTGTCAAAAAAGAGTTAATCAGGCAAATTAGAACAGATTAGTTAAATTTGTAATTATTATTTTAAGCGGCTGAGGGGGAAAAGGAAAGGGCCTGAGGCTTTTAGGAATTGTGGGAGTTGAAGTCCAAAACACCTGGAGGGCCCACATTTGCCCATGCCTGCAATAGTATCATGTCATGTGGTTTGAAGTAACAAGGCAGGATAGAGGGGTACCAAGGAAGTAATTCTACCCCTCTATTCTGCCTTGGTCAGACCACACCTGGAATACTGTGTCCAATTCTGGGCACCACAATTTAAGGGAAATGTTGAGAAGCTGGAATGTGCCCAGAAGAGGGTGACTAAAATGATCAAGGGTCTGGAGAACAAGCCTTATGTGGAGCGGCTTAAAAAGCTGTGCAAGTTTAGCCTGCTGAAGAGAAGGCTGAGAAGAGACATGATGGCCATGTATAAATATGTGAGAGGAATAGGGAGGAGGGAACAAGATTGTTTTCTACTGTCTTGCAGACTAGGAGGTGGAAGAATGGCTTCAAACTACAAGAAAGGAGATTCCACCTGAACATTAGGAAGAACTTCTGAACTGTTAGAGCTGTTCAGCAGTGGAACCCTCTGCTCTGGAGTGTGGAAGAGACTACTTATTTGGAGGCTTTTAAACAGAGGCTGGATGACCATCTGTCGGGGGCGCTTTGAATACAATTTTCCTGCTTCTTGGCAGGGGGTTGGACTGGATGGCCCAAAAGGTCTCTTCCAACTCAATGATTCTACAGGAGGGTAGATTTCAACTGAGTATTATAAGGAATCCCTTGACATTAAGATCAGTTTTTCAATGGCTCCAATTGGCCAGAGAAGTGGAGAGGTCTCCTTCTCTGGACAGCTTCACAAAGAGCTGTACAAACAGCTACTTGCTAGGTGTGCTTTACCTGGAGATCCTGCACTAAGCAAGGATTGAACCCAATGGCCCTTCAAACTCTAAAATCCAATCCTAACCTTATCAAATTCAGCACAGAACCAGAGTACATCTTTGTTTTTTCCTGGCTTCTCCAAGTGTTCCAGGTGCATTGAACAACACCTCTTGTGATCTCCAGCCTGTATTGGTCACAATTCATGGGAGGATAATGAGAGACCAAGTTAGGTAAGATTGGGCAGTCATCTCAGAAGAATGGCATTATTTTTACTTTCCTCATTAATATTGTGGATCCAGATATGCACCACAAAACAATGTAAGGAGTTTTGTTCCAAAGAAAACAGAACAGAAA